AATATCACATATATGAGGAGAAACCTTGTAATATTAGCTGAAGTTACTGTGGGTAAGCTAACTATGTGGTGTAACCGCTTGTATTAAAACTATAGACCAAGGGAAAACATGTTATAACGTGTTTTAAAATGAGTTCTGCAAAGCGAAGGTGACGTTACCGAACTTAGTGTTAACAGAGACAGCGGGTTGTCAATGTCGGTAAGTCACGGTCACTAAACGATCCCGTTATTACAGTGAACTGGGAAAAAGGGCAAGAGGAGGGTAAAACATCTTATATGGGGATGATAATAATAATATATGATAAAAGTATTAAACAACATCTTTAGGCTGCCAGGGAGCCAGTATCAGTTCCCAGGTGAAAACAGCACCAAAAGCAATCAATTCATTCCAGTCAGGCTCTTTGAAGCCTGTGCATACAGCTGATAATTATTAATGTACACTCAGTTGACAATTTATTAGGAACATCCAGCTGAAACTGATATAGTCTAAAAAAACAGCCCTGTAATAAATCGTCCTTCATGAAGATTATACTGTTTATACAGAGGTGTTTCTGTTATTTAGCTTATCTTTGTTGATATAAATGGGTTGGACAAAATAATATAAAATAATAGAAACTTGAAAGCCATGGTGAGTGTCTTTATGTAGCAGTAGTTTTGTGTTGTCTCTTTGATTACTAATAATCAGAATCAGCCCTGAAAAATCTGTGGATCCCTATTGCTGTTAGCCAATTCAGGCTAATTCTGTCCTTGATTAATTAATGTATTATTAGGTTAATACCAAGCAATACACCATGAATGAATGAATCCAAGTTTATGTTAAGTTCTCTGTGCTTCTATACAGTAACATAATATATACAGTTCATCATACTATTTGTCTTTTTTTTAATCCTAATAAGTAACATATTACTCTGATCATAGGTGCTATCTTCATCTCTAATGTGGTGTTCCTTAATTAGTTATGAAATAAGTACAATAAAGTAATTTGATAAACGTGACCTACTCTGTCTCTGTCCAGTCTGCTGAGATCAGGAACTGCCAGGCGAGATGCTGTGATGCATTGTGGGGTTTTTAGTATCAACAACCTCAGGCCTTCCTTCAGCCTTGCAGGTAGCACTCTTCCAAACACACATATTTACACCTGATATAAACAGATTGATTTACTCACTGGTGTTAAATATCTTTGATTTGATCTGAAGTGAATGTGAACATTGATGTGTGTAGGGTAGATGGCCGTCACTGTACTAGAACCCTCCCTGAGAAATATGGTGTGCAGTTACTGATCTCAACAGCATGGAAGTTATTAGTAAGAAGCATGTCAAATATTCAAAGTTAACAGCTCTGAGATAAAACTGGATATTTGTTGGTGTGTCCAATTGTATTTAACACGGCCAAGGACCCACAGCAGCACATCACCTGTGAGATCATGATAATGCTGAAGAAGCAGGAGTGACAATACATCACCAGGTGGTGGGGAACAGAATGAAGTGTTTCTGGTTTAAAAGCACCGTCCTTCAGCATTTAAGAAATGGAAGGTCTTTAATTTGGTTTTAAAAGAACACATTGATGGGGCGAGTCTAAGATCAGCAGGTAAACTGTTTCAGGTGCATAGATGCTAAATTTAAGGTAAACGCAAGAAACTTGTGCTACAGAAAATGGACCAGACTCAGTGAATAGCTCCCTAAGCTTAACATCCTAAGTCCTATGATAACTATTAATTTAGCTATACAGACTAATGAGCAGTGATAACTAACATGTATTTGGGCTAAAAGCATCTCACTACACTTTGAAAATGCTCTAGACACATGGAGATTTCCAGCGTGTGATCTGCTGGGATTGTAAACTAACAGCATGTCTGAGATGTTCTGTGAAGCCAGACCAGCAGGTGCTTTGTGACCAAGAGGAGGATTGTTTCAATTGTATTCTGAAAACAACAAGCAGCCAGGGAAAGTTTCAGAGAAGAGAGTTATGTGGTCAGATTTTTGGCTGGACCACAGCAGCACTGACACTGACTGACTCACTGACTGACTTTCTGACTGGCTGACTGACTGACTGACTGACTGATAGAGTTGAGTTTTACTGTTAAACCTTTGGTCAGCTGAAGACCATGTGACGTGATTCATGAAGTTACACCATTGGTCTGTTGACTTGTTTTCACTGGTCTAGACTCCAGGTGTTCACAGATCAGCGGTCTCTGTTTTCTCCTGTTCAGCTGAATGAAGTTTCATGTCGTCTAGTGCTTCATTTTTTCCAAGCAGCTGACTAGGGAGTGTATGAGACTCTTTCACCTGGCGTAAAGCGCAACTCAAGTGTCTTTGCTAGTTTCAGACTGATGCAGTTGTCATTTTTCCATCGAGTTCACACATCGTTTAATTAGCCAGTTGTTTAAATTGACCAACAGAAACCTGGTCTTCAGTAAATGGCACAATATTTCTCCATTATTTTCAGGGCACATTGTCAGTATGCTCCTACATAGGTGGGTGCACAGCGTGTCTGTTTAACACAAGCAGAGTTGTGAAGATGAGCTTCAGGTGTTTGATGTTTAGTCCGGTGGAACATTAGAAAGCAGCCACAGAAGGTCAGAGCATTCTTTGTTTAAATAACATTTGTTTAAGCTTTATTAAAGTAATGGTAAATAAAAAATAATTAAATCATACTTTTTAAGGACTTTACAGTGAATCTTAGTGTCTCCTGTTATTTCTTTCTCCCCAGATGAAGGATCCAGCTGATTACTGGCAGTTTGAAGGTGGATTTTTCTTCATCTGCTCCGTTGCACCGTCACTTCTGGTAAAGATTCATAACCTTTGTGGTTTTGATTTGACTTATTAATACACTGTATAGTTGGGATTCTGACATAAAAGATAGTATAATGTTTGTCCACATATGTTGTCAGAACTATATGGAGAATACTGTGGAAAACAAGATAAAACTGAATTGGAAGATACAAGCTAAAAAACAACAGACCCCCCCCCCTCAGCTCCACAGCCCCCCCCCCTTTCAGAGGTGATATCATCACCTCCCCCAATTGATATTGTAAATTTATATCTGAATATATTAAATAAAAGTGCTATAAAGTCAATAGTGGTGTGTATGTTATTTGTAATTAAGTTTCCAACCCCACTTTAGTTGAAAGACTACATCCAGAGACTTAACAGTTTAATTAGCATTTCTTCAGTATATTATATTTTATGAGAAATGTAAGAAAACTGATCTGAATCTGAATCAGTAAATATTGTATTTAGATTGTGCTTCTACATTACTTTACATACTTAAAGATTCAATGTTGACACAAATACTGCAGGTTTGAGATGATTTTAATCTGTTTTACACAGTATTTTTTACTTTGTCTTCCAAAACAAAAGATTTACTTTACAATATTAAGCATGTGTTAATATCTCATTGATTGATGTAATTGACTGACGGTTTTTTTTACAGTGTAAGCTGTTGTACTGTATGTGTATATTTATAAGGATTGTATCAGGGAACAGCTTAAGGAGTGAATGAGTGACCAAGTGAACTGAAAAAAGAGTATGGCTAAGACACTAACAGTGTGTGAGTGTGTGAACTGACTTATGTAGAGTCTCACTCAAAGTCCTTAATTTCTTTAGTAGACTGGAGACACAAGGGTTGACTGATGTCATCTTTTTCTGAGGGACCTTCCTCATTTTCCAAGACTTTAACCCGTCCATTGCCTCTCTCAGGATTATCCCCATGAATGGCCTGAAAAACAAGAGTGTATTAAGGTGGGGAAATGGAAACGTGTACTTTCATCGCGCAGATTAAGTAATAGTAGTTTTGGAAGTAACAGTTTCGCCTTAATTAGCGTCAGAAAAGCTTCCTTAACATGCTCACACTCTACTGTTTGAATCTCTGGACCCACACGTGGGCTTTTTAGCGGCCCGCTGCGCGCGCCACGCCACGTTGGCCGACGTGGGCCCGTCCTCAGTCCGGCCCGCGTAGGACATCCAACACCAGAGGAGAAAAGAAAGAAAAAAAAAATTCCCGCATTATAGAGGCATGAGTTTTGAACTCTATACGAGTCTGATTGCAACAGAGGGCTATTTTAATTTGGAGTAGGGTGAAAAATGCACTCTCCTTGACTCTTGCATAGACAGTTCGATTGATCATCCAGGATGAGATGCTGTGAAAAAAGGGAAAAGTTGATCACGAATGTCGTGTTTTACATGCGAGTGGCCACTACTATAAATATTTTGTTACTCATGTGGGCTTCAAAGGCTGTATGCCTGATATGCCAAAATGCAATTTCTGTTTTCAAAGAATATAATATTAAGAGACATTTTTCGACCAAGCATGGCCAACTATGCACCAACCTATCGTCGGCGGGAGAGAGAAAAAGCCCTGAAATTGTCCTCCGATTTAAACGCCCGTCAGAATATTTTTGTGAAGCAGACGGGCCATAAACAAGACAGTCACAAAAGTAATACATGGCCGGCTCTTAAGCTGACCAAACACAGCAGGTCGTTCTCAGAGGGTGAGTTTTGCTAAAGACCGGTATGGTTGAGACTGTGCCCTGACAATAAAAGTCAGTTTGAAAAAAGTCAGTCTGTCTCGTCGGGCCGTTACCAGGCCGTGTGGTAAGTGATTTGATGGCGCAGTCTCACTGAATTCATTGTAGTTAATTGAGATGTTAATTGTAATATTCATGAGTATGATCATGTATTTGTTTAAAAAGGGCTAGTGAATAACACAAATCAAGCCCACCAAATCTATGTACCGGTAGTTTAAAGTAATTCTGCAGTAAATATTTCATGTTTAAATTTTATTTCCAATTGTGTGGCCCTTCACTTACTTTAACGGAGTCAGTATGGCCCACTGGAAAAAAATATTGCCCACTAATGCTCTGGACTAACAATGGCGGTAACTCTCCTAGGCCTTTCAAATACCGCACAAAAGAAGAAGAAGACATGCTGTGATTGGTCGGTGGGCTGTGTTTAAAGACACGCTGTGATTGGTCAGTGGGCTGCATAAAGACATCATGGCGGGGGCTCGGCGGACCTATGTCATATCGGAGAGCAACATGGAGCTGTTCCGAGGAGAACACGTCGATAAACCGAGGACAGTGAGGTGTTTCGGGTGAGTAGAAGAGATCAGTCCGATCTCTCCAATGCCGCTGGTATTCACTCCAAGCTAAAGCTAACCGCAGAAGCTTTCCCCTCTGACCGAGGGACCGGAGCTTTCAGCGAAGCTAACATGCGTTAGCTGTTAGCTCGTGGTCCAGACCCTCAGGACACTGACTAGCCGCCCATGATGGATCAGTTAAACCTGAGCTGGAGTCCGGACTCTGAAAGACTGTGGGCAGGTAAACCTGGACCCGAGGGACCCGCTGTCGCTGCTTTGAACCAGACTTCTGTTTAACTTTTACTCATGTTATCTGTGGTCTGAACGTTAGCGCTTCTCTAGCACCAGGACAAGTCAAACTCGTTTTATATTTAAAGTCCTGTAATGGTTCCTGAGGTGACGGCTGTTTTCCCGGGCTGAAATCACTGTTTAACTCCAGGTTATAGGTGACGTCAAGCTGCTCTTCATTCTCACAAACGGTTTATTAAAGGCTCGTTGGTAAACACGCCTGTTTTGACTGAGTTTAGTTTGCTCTGAATGACCCAGCACACAGTGGAGACACATTCGTTCAGTAGAAGGTATTTCTAATGAAAACTGAGATAACGATGTTTCAACTAAATTAACTCACCTCCATTGAGCTGTGTGGATTTAGGTGAGCTGAGCCTTTAATTGATGTAACTGATCAAAACTATCACTGAAATGAAGGATAATTTATCATCAGTTGATTGTTTGACCTGTGGAACAGTTTGTCAGAGAGCACTGATGTTTTAGCTTTAATTCTGACCAATAGTTTAAAAGTTGATGCTTTTAACTTTTTGGCCTTTTTACTTAAAGTGATTGTGTTGATTAGCACAACAGCTGCAGACTAATTTCGTTATTACAGCAGGATCCCGAGGAGACGCTGCTAACGATAGAGTTCAGTGAGGCAGAACACAAATATTTATCTACCTGTTGTCATTTCCACACCTCCACAGGAACCAGACCTGATGTGGACGGACCAAGACAGGATCCGTGTGATCTGACTCTGCCCCATCCGCCGCCCCCCCACACACACACACACACACACACAACCACACAGACTGGGACTGACAGGTAAGAGCCACTGAACATACCACACCCACAGGACAGGTGTGTATTTACCTGTCGCTCTGCCTGAAAGTGATGAAATAAAAGGCCGACTGAAGCCCCTCCCCCAGCAGTCTGTTCATAGAGGAGGGGGGCTGTGACAAAACCGGACTGAAGCGTATTCTGACTCAGGATGAGTCTGCCTGTCCTTCAGGTGAGTGTCTACCAATTCATTAACACTGCTGTGATTGGCTCTGACAGATGGACTTCAGTGACCTGCAGGAGATGAGGCCGTGATGTTATCAGTGATGTCAGAACTGCAAGATGATGGTGAGTGTCATCAAACGTAGTGGGATGTCACAGAGTGGGTGGGGCTAGTGTCTGCTGGGAGATGATGTAAACAAAAGGCCGAATTGTAGCGCCTCCGCCAGGCAGTGTGTTCTCAGAGCGGAGGCGCCCTGACAAAGACTGACCGAAGCGTTGATCTGATCCCAGGACAGCAGGCTCACTGAGGTCACATGACAAAGAATAGCTTCATAAACAAAGAGACAAACACTGTCGGTCTGCAAAGCAGTGACATCATCAGTCTGTCAGTGTAATTGCCTTGACGACGGCACCGCTGTCTTCTCACTGCTGGGCTTTTTAAATGGAGTTTGGTGAAGAAACCAGATGCCGTTGAAAGCTCCAGAAGCCAGCGGAGGGACCTTGAGTTGGATTATTTAGGCACTGTTTCAGTTTATTAAGTTGATCCACTGTCACCTGGTGTGTCCACAGGTGAGTGACTGAAGGATGTCTCCTGGCTGCAGTCTGAGGACAGCTGGTGAGTGTCCGAGCTCCGTCCCAGTTCACTGCACTCGTTTCCAGTCTGGTCTGCTCATACTGGGACAAGGACTGACGTAACTTCAGAGACCAGGAAGCAGACTTGTCTCAATCAACATGGAGTCTTAATGATTTCACTGTTTAACTCTGACCCCACAGGTCTGCTCATGTAAACTTTGTGTTTTAATAAAGGTTGATGTTATTAACTGTTTATTTCAGCATCAGCTGATTTGTCCTTTGACGGCTCGGATAGAACAGACTTCAGAGAGATGGAGTCTTAATTCATCTGTTGAACAAAGCAGTTCAGTTCAAATGGCTGACAGAAGAGCCATGTCCAACCTCTGAGCTTAGTTTACCCTCAGCAGAACATGGTTGTCTTTTTAGGAATAATTCAACAGTTACAGGAAGTTTTACTTTGAAAATTCAGTGAAGAGTGGAAAAAATAAAAAATTGATTTGGGTGGGGGGGGGGGGGGTCTGGTCTCTAAAAACTTCCCTCCATGTCAGCAAACCACATGAGCCATGTCTTCCTGTTTCTTGTTGTTGGGTGCTACTGCTTAGTGCAGGTGTCACTGATTGTTACCATGGTAACATTGGTATTAGTTAGTCTGGTCAGGTGTCTGATGTTTGTCATCAGATGAGTCAGTCTTTATTTTAGTGATTGATCCGGACCACCACAGACCGGTCTGATACCGCTTTATGAACCAGCTGATGAGAGGAAACAGCTGGTGACAAACACGGAGGCTGTTCATCACCCGAGGTCACGTTGAGATCACATGTTCAACTCCACCTCCCTTCATCAACATCTGAAGCATGCACACTGATTCAGCTGGACTGACAGGAAGTTCATGTTTCCCTCTGGATCAGCTGCAGGTTTGTTTCAGCTCATTAAACCAAAGGCCACAGAGACTGTCAGACCGTCTCCATGGAAACAGTATGAAATCTGAGACATGAAAACCAGCTGTGTGTTCGTCCCAGACCAAGACAATGTGGTTCAGGCCTGGAGACTGCTGGTCTTCATGTGATGCTGTAGGTGAAGAGCTGGACAGGTGCTCAGGTGCTTCATTACCTGCTGTGAAAGAATGAATGAATCAGCTGTTCACTGTGTTTACTGCAGCCTCCTCATGTGCTCTGATACTTCACATGTCAGAGTAAGTGCTGATACACATTAACCTGACACCTGTCAACTCACCTGTACTGAGCTGATGATGTCATACAGTAGTTTATAAAGTCAGAATATAACCAGCTACTACATTAACCTGCTGTTACAACAACACACCTGAGTCTCTACTGTCACTCTGATGTCATGACGTTACTATTTACAATGTATTATCACACTTATCACCGTTATTATTATTGTTGTTACAATTATATTGTCATAGTTATTATCATTATTAGTAGTAGTAGTAATAGTACTAGTTAGTAGTAGTTGGTAGTGTTGTAGTTAGTCATTTCCTGTCCTTCCCACTCTCCCTGTTGGGTGTTGTTGTGGGGGGGGGTGATGGGAGGTGAACTCTTCCCCGGAAGTGCACAGCTGCAGCAGCAGAAGTTGCTCCTCGGCTCCGGGACTCAACAGTCTCTCAACTTTCAAACCAATCCGTTACATTTGGACCTGGCGGCTGAAGCGGCGGGATGGAGCCCGACACGACATCACCGGTAAACACACCGACACACCCGCCGATCCTCCGGTAACCGCAGACCGTCAGACCGGAGCTGTTAGCACAGCTGAGCTAACTGAGCTAACTGAGCTAGCCTGTAGATGTGCCACCAGACTCCATTCAAAAAACACAGCAGTGAAGAGACAGAAGCGATGACGTCAGAGGGATCATTACGTCACTGTTCAGAGCCTCAGTTACAAAGAGAGAGAGAGAGAGAGAGACCTCCACCTCCATGAGAGGCTCCATGTGCTTCAAATAGGTGAGGTCTGAGGACAGACAGGTGGGGACAGACAGGTAAGGTCTGAGGACAGACAGGTGGGGACAGACAGGTGAGGTCTGAGGACAGACAGATGAGGTCTGAGGACAGACATCTGAACCTGTTTCACTATCACAGATATCACCAATTAAAGCTGCTGTGATCAGGACCGATCACTGATCAATACCAATCCCTGATCAGTGGGTCTATCTGAAGCCTGTTTATCATGTAGCATGTTTTTCTATTTTTCCTTTTCTAATAGTTCTTGTGTAACCTCAACCCTGTGATGCTCAGGTAAGTTACAACTGTGTCGTCAGGACAACCTGTGTTGCCAGGCTGCAGTGACGTCACATGAATGTAGAAACAGTTTAGTTTTAGTTTGAGAATATGTTTATGTAGTTGCTGCTCTCGGCCCAGGGGCAGTGTGGACCGTTTCAGATCAGCTGATCACGGACACATTTTTGTTCCAGGATGCAGCCGAAGAACTCAGAGACGTTCGGATCAAGACGGAGCCTGATGGAGACGTGGAGATCCAATCATATCCCATCCTCAAGAAGCTGTCTGTCAAACTGACCGACTGCAGGGTGTGGCTGGAGGGGCGGGACTTCCTGTCTTTGGGTAAGAATCTGAACTGATATTGATCAGACAGAAGAATGTATAGATTAATAAAACGTTCTGCTTCCTGCAGGTCGAGACAAATGAGAGACGTTTGGTTAATTTTGTTGATAATAAAGTTTCATAGAAAAACATTTTTACGTTGCTCAACGTCAGCTATTGATAAAATATTGTTTTAGTTTTGATTACCATACTGCAGCTGACAGGTCATCCAATCAACAGCCCCAAACCCAGAGTTATTGATCAGTCACTAGTTAATTTTCTATCTCTTAATCAACTGATCGTTGAGGTTTTATCTTGTTTGTCTTGTTTGGACCTCCTGTGAGTTTGAAATAAAGTTTGAATTGAATTGGAGCAGGAGCTGTAACTTGACCTCTGACCTCTCCAACAGACGATCACCCTTACCTCTGTGACCAGAGTCCGAGGCAGGTCCGGCCCACAAACACTGGCAGGAAGATGGTCTACTGCTCTGAGTGTAAGAAAGGTTTCTACAAGAGGTCTCACCTGGAGGCTCACCTGAGGATCCACCGAGGACTGAAACCCAACGAGTGCTGGCAGTGCGGGAAGACCTACCCGACCCTGATGAGCCTCGTCATCCACCAGCAGATCCACGACCGCAAGGAGCCTTACCGGTGCTCGTACTGCGACAAGACCTTTGCTCTGAAGAGGGACTGGAAGACCCACCATAGGACGCACTCTGGGACCAAACCCTTCAAGTGCTGGTTCTGCGGGGACGGCTTCGATGAGCAGGACGAGCTCACCGAGCACCTCGAGGCGCACAAGGGGGAGAAGTGCTACCACTGCAAAGTCTGCGACAAGATGTTCGTCTCCTACCAGGGCTTCAACTTTCACCGAAAGTCGCACAGGAACCAGAAGCTGCTGCCCTGCCCTAAGTGCATGAAGACCTTCAGCAACCCCCAGAGTCTGAAGCTCCACCAGGTGACTCACTCCAACAGGAAGCCGCATAAATGTCCCACCTGCGGCAAAGGCTTCAAGCTGCAGAGCGGCCTGCACTGCCACCAGAGGACCCACGAGGACGTGAAGGACTACCACTGCACCGAGTGCGGCAAGTGTTTCTCCAGCCTGCAGGGTCTGAAGCTGCACAACCGCACCCACACCGGACTGAAGCCCTACAAGTGCACTGAGTGCGGGAAGAGGTTCACCCAGTCCCCCCACCTCAAGTCGCACATGGTCACCCACACTGGAGAGCGGCCGTTCCTCTGCACCACCTGCGGCAAGAGGTTCACCCAGTCGTCCCACCTGAGGTCCCACATCACGCTGTTCCACGTGGGCGAGAAGCCGTTCACCTGTGACGACTGCGGGAAGAGCTTCACCATCGCCCACTACCTGAAGATGCACCGGCTGAGTCACACCAAGGAGAAGCTGTACCAGTGCTCGTACTGCGAGAAGTCCTTCTCCTACCACAACTCCTGGAGGGCCCATGAGAGGATCCACACCGGCGAGCGTCCGTTCAGCTGCCAGGACTGCGGCCAGAGCTTCATCACGTCAGGGTCGCTGCTGAGCCACCAGAGGTCCAAACACACTGGAGAGAAGAGCCACTACTGCATCACCTGCGGAGAATTCTTCTTCACCAGCTCGCTGCTGCGGGTCCACCAGCTCGACCACACCGGAGAGCGGCCGCACGCTTGCAGCTGCGGCAAGACCTTCAAAACCAAAGGGGTGCTGCGCTACCACCTGAAGAGGTTCACCGACCACCGGCCAGCCCAGTGAGCGTCAGGAAACACACCTGTCACCTGAGGTTCAGTCTGAGAGGCCTCCAGAGAGGGGAGCAGGGGGTGATGGGGTAAAGGAGGGACACAAACACTGTGTGAGGTGAGGGGACAGGTGCATGCAGGTGTGAAGTAGCAGGTAGAGCTGCAGCAGAGACCCTGATTACACTGAAGTCAAAACTCCTCCTCACAGTCAGACCTGAACTACATGTTGACTCAGTGTGACATCACTTCCTGAGGATGTCCCTCCAGAATAAAGCTCCAGAGAAACAGAGGTTGCAGAACTTCATAGAGAATCATCACAGCTGATCACAGCTGATTCAGATGACTTATGTAAAACAGATGGAAGCTAAAAAACAGGGCTCAAGTAGGAGCCTCAGTTCTCTGGGTTGGGGGGGTGGGGGGCAAGATGTGACTGCCTGCATACAGGAAGTGTTGGTGCTGCTCTCTGTCTTCAATCACAGGTTTTTCTTTCGTGTTTGTGGACATTTGAAGCCAAAGCTGCTTTTATGGATCAACTTATTTTGAGTCTGTTGATCAGCTGATCACACAAACAGCTGTTTAGAGAGTGAGGTTGTTGGACTGATGGACACAGCTGATGATCACTTTTTAGTCACTGACATTCACAAGTTTTATTTTGAGTCATGAACCTTTGTTTTTTACAGAAAATGAAATGATGCTGCATCAACACTAAGAACCAGGAAACACTTTGTCTCAGTCGACTTTGAACACAATAAAGGAACAGTCACAGTGTGTGTGTGTGTGTGTGTGTGTGTGTGTGTGTGTGTGTGTGTGTGTGTGTGTGTGTGTGTGTGTCAGTCAGAGTACAGGAAGGGACCAGGTGTCATTCCAGAGCAGGTTCAGGGTCTACAGTCCAGTTCTCACATGAAACAAAAGGTTTATGAATTTAATGAACTCACCTGAGATGACAGGTGAGGACACACGACCTGCTTTGATCAAATAAACAAACAAACTGGACTTTAACTTTGATACTAACGACTTGTGATGTTTGATGTTTGATCTTCTCCTCAGACAAGAAAATAGAATATGATGCGTCAGCCAATCAGCTCCTCACTTCCTGAAAACATCAGACCAATCAGGGCTTGTTTAGGACTTGAAGCACCAAGTGTAGGATCTGGTCTGGACTCTGGATTGGAGACTGATGACAAACGAGCTGACAGCAGGAGGAATCAGGAGCCTGCTGGTGCTGGTTCAGGTGGACTCTGCAGTCCTGGATCAGGACTACGTTAGAGGGTTTGCATCAGTTACTCCAGTAAAATAAAAGTCCTGATATTGATTATAGGATTATTATCAGTGAGTCCAATCAGATTTTACATTGAAATAAACAACAGGTTGTTAAAACATTCATGTTACAAAGTTCTTGACTGAATTAATATTCAACACTGAAACATTTGATTCATGTTTACGAGGAAGAATTCACTGAAGAGTCAGTCGTCCTTCACAGGCTCGTTAGGTGTTTTGTACCTAAAGAACTAATAACAGCAGCTGTTAAATACAATATTTCCCTCTTAAATGTAATGGAGTAAAAGTATAAAGTAACAGAGTAAATCTACTTAGTTACTTTCCACCACGGCCAGTTAGCAAAGGTGCCTAACAAGTTTTATCTGATTTTTTTTTTCCAGGCTTAAAGAAAAGATGAGGAAGTTAAATAAGATTCAAATGAATTTAATACAAGACATAAATAAAAATAAAACCCATTAAACATTAAGAAATGAGTCAATAAAAAATTCCAAATAGACTTCATGTAATCATGTGATTTTTTTTATATGACTATATAAACGTGACAGTTTCAGAAATAAAGTTTGTTCAACTGGAAGTTTCGTTTTTATTCCTTTAAATATTTTAAAACGTCTAGTAAAAATTCACGTCTAGTTCGGCAGCTTTTATTCTGAAGGCGTAGAATGACACGTATCAGGACTTCCTGCCGTTATGTCAACAGTGAAGATGGCGACGTCCTGTGTGCGCCGTTCCGTCCTCAGTCAGACCCTGAACAGATTCAGGTCTTCAGGAGGAGACTTGATCCAGATCTCAGCTGGAAACAGGTTTGTATTAGACTCACCTGACAACAGGTGAGACACCGGCACGTGCAGGTGGAGACACAACAGGTGTAAAAAATAAATGAGGTGCTGCACTGTATAATATAATATAATATAATATAATATAATATAATATAATATAATAATTAATGAATGAAACACGGAGCTCAGGTCCACCTGCAGGAAACAGGTAAGTGAACAGCTGATATTTGTTTTTGTTCTTCACGTGCATCGGCTGATCTTCTCTGTTCGTCTCATTACATAAAACCAGCAGACAGCAAAGTGGAAGTTCTTTGACATCACAGTCTGTGGCGGGAAAACACTCGGCATGCTGGGTAAAAGTGAGCAAACATGAGTCCAATGGGAGAAACATTAAGATCACACAGAGAGGAGGAGGAGGAGGAGGAGGAGGGGGAGGAGGGGGAGGAAGAAGAAGAACAGTCCTGTGGGCGACAATTGGTTAGTTCAGTCACAAATCTACAAATATACAACCTGTAACATCACACTCAGTGTGTGTGTGTGTGTGTGTGTGTGTGTGTGTGTGTGTGTGTGTGTGTGTGTGTGTGTGTGTGCGTGCAGCCTTCTCTCTGTTCAGCAGCTCTGATGAAGACAAACGTGATGAAGCTCAGAGGAAAGAGGACGAGTTGATTCTGCTGCTGAAGAAGGCCAAGGTACCGGGACCACTAACTGTTATTAAGTTAGTAGGTCAGTTAGTTGTTAATTAGTTAGTAGTTAGTTGGTAAGTAGTTAATTAGTTGTTAGTTAGTTAGTTAGTTGTCCTACAGCAGTAACACGTCTCTCTCTAACAGCTCAGTCTGTACCGCGGGCAGCTGCAGGCAGCCTCTGGTTTCCTCCATCAGGCTGTCGGTTTAGCTCACCAGACCCACAACAACCAGGCCATCATCTACACCTACAGTCTGGTAAACACCTGTCCAGTCTGACCACACCCACACACGCTGCACCTGTGAGTATCAGGTCTGTACCTCTGAGTGTGGACCTCAGACCCAGGTACAGGTCCAGAGGACAGTTCCTCATGAGGAACAGTCAGATGTTCTGTGTTAGTCACACTGAGTCCAACATGTCGGAGCTACTTCCTGTCCCCCCAGCTGAACTCTGGGTACTCTGAGCTCTGAGGTCAGGCTGTAAACCTGCAGCTGTGACCTTTGACCCCGTCCTCTGACCTGTCCCTGTGTTTCCTCAGATGGCGAACCTGGCCTACGTCCAGGGTCACCTTGACAATGTGAGTCCTGTCCAATACTGCTACTGTTGCTGTTGTTGTTGTTGTTGTTAATGATGATGTTGTTGTTGTTGATGATGTAAATGGTAAATGGTTAATGGACTTGCACTTATATAGCTTTTCTAGTCTAACTGACGACTCAAAGCGCTTTACAATACTTGCCACATTCACCCATTCACTCACACAGTCACACACTGATGGGGCAGCCATCAGGGGCAGGGTGGGGTTCAGTATCTTGCCCGAGGACACTTCGACACGCGGACTGGAGGAGCCAGGGATCGAACCACCGACCATCTAATTAGTGGACAACCTCCTGTTGTTAATGTTTTTGTTTATATTGTTGTTGTTATTGTTGTTAATGTTAATGTTGTTGTTGTTGATGATGTTGTTGTCGTCATCTTCATCCTCTTCTTCCTCTCAGGCTGAGAAACTCTTCAAAGCAGCGATGAGCTTCATGCTGTCAGGAGGAACACCACAGGTCAGTGTGTGTGTGTGTGTGTGTGTGTGTGTGTGTGTGTGTGTGTGTGTGTGTGTTTTCCGTCTTCACTGACTTCCTGTCTGTTTCCAGGACGACAACGCTGTCATCGAGATGTCTCTGAAACTCGCCACCATCTATGCCGAACAGAACAAGTGAGAACTGATCTGTTGATCTGCAGCAGCTTCCTGTCAGAGACCTGACTTTGTTTGTTTGTTTGTTTGTTTGTTTGTTTGTTTGTTTGTTTTAGGAAGGAGCTGGCTGAACATGGGTTCAGGTTCTGTACTGAGTCCCTGGAGGCGAAGCTGGGGAAACAGAAGGATGAGTCAGCAGAGCAGCAGACAGGTGAGACAGGTAAGACAGTGATTCAGTGTCACTGAACTGCATCGAATCCTTTAAATTAGCGACTGATTCACAGTAAGCTAGTTAGCATGAAGTTCCCTCCTACTTTAACATATGGACACCTGCAGCGTCTCACCTGTGTCCAGGTATCCAGTCCTTATTGAAGTCTCTGTAAACAAACAGCTGTTCTCAGAGTCTGCTGTGGAACTCGTTTACAGGTCGTGGTCTCTAGTGTTCTTTAGAGCGGAGTACTTGTACATCCTGCTTGGTTGGTGAGGCGTCTGGAGGATCTGGATCCTCCTACAGGTGATCCTCCAGGTCTCACAGAGCACCTGTAAACAGACTGAGGTTTAAACTGTTCAGTGTCGTTGTCGTCTTCAGAGGAGCAGGAGGCTCTGAGGAAGGAGACCCGCCTCCTCCTCGGTCTGTGTTTGGACTCACGGGCTCGATACCGAGCGTCAACACGCCGCCTGAACCAGGCCACACAGGACTACCAGACCGCCCTGAACATCTGCCGCCAGGAGCAGGGAGAGACACACCCACAGGTAGAGCCACGCCACACACAGGTAGAGACACACAGAAACAGAATCCATCTAAATGATGTCATGATGTCATCTCCTGTCAGACTCTGGTTCTGATGAGCGACCTGGCCACCATCCTGGATCTGCAGGGTCGCCATGACGACGCCCTGGCACTGATCCAGCAGGCCGTGGATCTGAGCCGGTCCTCTGGACACCCGGACCAGCACGTCCTGCTGGGAAACATGGCCGGCATCCTGCTGCACACAGGTGAGTCCAGGTCAGTGTGAAGCTTCAGTCCATCTTTCTGTCTCCGGTCTCACTTCCTGTCTGTGGTCCATCAGGCCGGCTGGAGGACTCGGTCCGGCTCTA